TTTTTTTTTTCCTTCTAGCTCAGATTACATCTTGAGTTTAGAAGTTAAAAGTTCCCTCAATGAAATGCTCATTCTCATAGTTAGGGAATAGCTGGTATAGACCACAGGGAAGTCTCTGTTAGTGGTGGAGTCTGTCACTAATTGGCAAGTCCCTTAGCTAGGACATTTAGTTCCTCTTGTGAGCTTTGCTTAATTTATCCCTAAAATAAGTGAACTGATAATTCTGAGAGTTAATGCCTACTCCAAAATGTCATGGTTGAATGAAGTCTATCTATGGTCCTCTTTTGGGCACACAAGTCGGACTTTATAACTTTTAACTACCATAGGAGGAACTGGGAAGCTCTTTCCTTAGGAAGCCTAGTTAATCCACCTTACCTTATTGGACCTCTGATGAGAAGCCCAGATATTCATTTCCTGATCATTATGTGGCCCTCGGTGTAGGATGCCACGATAGAGGGCCATTTGGTTCTTCTCACAAAACCACTCGTACCACCTGTTTAGTGGCATCATTTCTTAGTTTTAAAAGAAAGGTTTTTTTTTTTTTTTTTTTTTTACGGGGGAGAATATTTGAAATACTGATTTCTAAGTTATTCTTTTATGTTGGCTGAATTCACAGCAGATCCTAAGAAGTTATGTGTGAGATTTTTTGACTTTTGACATCTTTTAGTGCTCTTGGGAGATTGCCTACTTTTTAGGTAGTTCAAATCGTCACATCCCCAAAGAACAAAGCCTTGTGTTAATGGATGAAGAGCTAGGTTCTAATTGTGATTCCCTCTTAAACTTGGAATTTTTATAAAATCAATTTTGTTCTTTAGACATAGTTCTTTTTTCACCCACAAAATGTTGAGTGCCTGTCCTTTCCTGGAATGCCAGCCAGCTATTTTGAATACATCAGAAGATTAACTCTATATAATCCAGAAGATTTTAGGTTGGTTTTGTTCACTGCACTTGGAACAATGCTTGGCACATAGTAAACCCTCGTATATTTTTTTCATTTAATTGTTTGAATAGCTAATGCAGTCATGGTTCAAAATCTATATAAAGGCTTAAACTCTTTCTTTCACCTGTCCCATTCCCTAGTTTTTTACCCCAGCCTAAAAACTACGGTTCTACATTTCTTGTTTCTCTTTTCTGAGATTCTTTATGCAAATACAACTAAAAATAGTACAAAACTACATATATTTCTGTGCTTTCCATTTTTCACCTAAAATGCCTTAGACGTTTTTCCATATTGGTTCACAGAGAGCTTCCGTAATTTTTTTTTTCTGAATATTTTTGCATTGAATAGATGTACCAGAATTTATTTAACTGGCCTCTGTTGGTGGGCATTTAGGTGGTTCTTGTCATATGCACAGTACTGCTTTGACTAACTTCATAAGTACGTTATTTTGTATGAGTGCTAGTTTAGCTATGGGGTAAATTTCCAAGAAGTGGAAGTACAAAGAATGCGTACTTATAGTTTTGGTAGATATTGCAAAACTGTCTTTGTTTACATTCCCACTTGGTATGTATGAGTGGCTTTTCCCTAACAGGCTCACCAATAGACTGTGCAATCAAACTTTTGAATTTCTGCCGATCTGATAGGTGAAAAATAATTTTATAGTAACCTGTAAGTTTGTATTCCTCCTTTATGAGTGAGGTTGAGGTACTAAGAAAAGCATTTGTTGAATGAATGGAATGCTGCATAACAGCCAAAACATGCCATTGAAACCATGCTCTACATTCTCTAATTGCTTTGTTTTTGTTTTTGTTTTTGTTTTTTTAGGTCTTACTTAGCATGGATAGAGAAGCATTTGTATCTAATCGTCCCTTTCATGTAGAAATAGGTCTTGGATGACTTGAAAATTTACTTGTCGAATAGTTTTGCTTAAATTGAGTTAATAAAAATTAATAGAACTGTGTTAATAAAAATTATAGTTTATAAAGTGTTTTTGATTCGCTATTTCATTTGAGCCTCACAGTAATCTTGTTATCTTCCATGTGTCATTGTCCTTTGAAAGGTGAAGGAGCCATGTGGCCCAAAAGGTTAATTGACTTGTCCAGGATAAAGCTGATAGGTAGATTGGGGATTGGAACTATGTTTTGGCTCTGAATTCTCCTCCATTCACTATTTTGTTTTGCATCATGCTGCTAATTTTATTGAAACTATTTTAGGTGTAACAGAATGGTGAACAGTGTAGGCCCATGTTAGACATTGCCCTGTACTCCATGATTTTGTATGTGGCTTTTTTGTTGACCTCTCTCCATTTAAATTAGCAAGCCTGTTTTGAAGGTCTAATGGAGAAAGCCTATTGTTTAGTTTCTTTTATACATATATTTCGTCAGCAAAGTTTTGGAAGAAATAGTGATACTTCTCTTAGAGCTAAAGATATATATTTTGGGAACTGTTTAATTTAGACACTTTGCAGATTAAATTGAGGAATTCTCTCCAAAGAAAAGAGGAATATCTTTTTTTCCCATTGATTTTAAAGTAGTACATGCTTGCAATAAATTCAAACAATACAAAAATAAATTAAGTATAACATGAAAGTACTTTGTAATAAAAAAACATTTTTTAAGCCCTTTTAGTTTTTCCCCCTAAAAATAAACATGCTAGACATAAAGTAGAATACACCCACACCCACACACACACCTACACACATAAACTTTTATAGTTAATTTATGGTTGGAGTAATTGATTAATCATATGGGAAAAATGAAAAGAATGATACTTAGGGTTGTCTAATGTTGGGATTTTCACAAGTAAGATTGTAAATTGGTACAGTACTTTTAGAGAACAACATGGTAATATCTATTAAACACAAACTATTTTTCCTTTAATCTTGCATTTTACTTCTAAATGTTTATCTTATAGATTCAAGGGTCTAGAATATATATCTCTAAATGATTGTTTATTTATAACTTACTTGAAATATCTAAAAATTACCAGTAACCTGAATGTTCATCAGCAGAGGAGTCCTTTTAAAAACAATTAGAATTACCCCTTTTCTTTTTTTCTCTTTAAATGTTCATTTATTTTTGAGAGAAAGAGAGAGAGAGCAGGGGAGGGACAGAGAGAGAGGGAAACACAGAATCTGAAGTTTCAGGCTCTGAGCTGTCAGCATAGAGCCCGACATGGGGCTTGAACTCATGAACCGCGAGATCATGACCTGAGCCAAAGTCAGACGCTTGACTGACTGAGCAGCCAGGCACCCCAGAATTACTCCTTTTCTTATTTTAAATAATTGTTCAAAATAGAAAAATAGAAACTGCCAAGTAGAAAAAGTTAGCAGCCTAATTCTATCACCTAAGATAAACATTATTAACATAATTATAAAAATTTGGATCCTGTTGTAAATTTTATTTTGGAACTTTTCCCCCTACTTAATACATTGTGACTATCTCTCCACGGAATAAAATGATCATCCTTATCTTTTTAATTTTTTTTAAGAAAGACAAACCTACAGTAATATAAGTAGTATATCAAGAAGTGCTTTACCCAGAGCTTGCCCATTGGAGTTTTATGTGTGCATAGTCCTGCTATTCATTTATTGCCTGACTAGCCCTAAGCTTCAGTCATGGACTTCTTTGGCATGTTTCACTATATTTGAGTTTCATCTATAATGTTGCATACTTTATATGTTTAAGTTCCTTATTTTTAAACTTATGTCTAAGTAAAATTGTTCATTTAATTACGAAATATTTATTGAGTGTCTGCTCTGTGCCAGGAATGGTTTTACGTGCTGAGGAGACAGCAGTTGTACAAAACAATTGCTCCTGTCCTTTCAGAGCTTACAATTGGGGGTTGATGAATATATGAAACATAAATTCAAATACGTAAGAGAAAAGTAAGTGTGTCCGTGTATCACCTAAAATCATCTCAAGTACCAGTGGTATGTGCATCACACCTGGGAAATTTCTCTTATAGCAACACAAGGATACCAGGGTCCTTGTAAGCTCTTGAGAGACAGAGCATCACAATGGTGACTTCAGCAGGGTCAGAAGAGGCGATGTTTGTGTGAATATCTGAGACATTTCTCTCTTGATTGTGCCTTCAGGTTTTGTTAACATGTACAATACGCATGAAGCTTTGTAGAATCGTGAAATTTCAAAGCTTGCAAGAGGACCTTTGCTTATTAGTCTAATTCTCTAAGTTGTCTAATGAGAAATGGGCCCAAGGAGATTAAAGAGACAGAATGTTAATGACAGGTAGAAGTAGAACTTAGGTTACCTGGTTGCTAGATCATTGTCCGTTCCACAGTACTATGATGGATGATCATATTAGAGATGTTTGAGAAAAACAGAGCAGATGGAATCAGTTTTTGCAGAGTGGCCATAAGGTAGGAGAGAAGAAAGTCTAAACTTCTAAGGGCTCAAATTTGTATCTGGGGTAAAATTTACTAAATTAAATCTTAACAAGCTTTGATTTTTCTTTATTAATTTTTTTCCTTTAAAATCTTTTAATTTATGTTTATTTATTTTTTTGCAGAAAAATAATTTTTGTAGAAAATATAGGGAAATTAGATCCCTTGAAAATATTATAAATTGTTTTACTGGAACAAATGTTAAAAATTTGCAGGATTAAGAGTTAATGAGCTTATTTTCTTTCATATCACTTATTGTTTTTTTTCTTCTTTTCCAGAATTTTATAGAAGTGAAGTGATTAAGAATTCCTTGGTAAGTTTGATTTCTGACAGGTACACTGACTAAGCCTACAACTCCTGTTTCAGAAAATGCTGAGGCAGAAGTTCGAATTCAGTTCTGGTATTATGATACTTCTACAGTTAAATCTTCGCTTACTTATTGCTTAAATTTTCATTGATTTATTTTGCTGTATCTTTTGTGCTTAGAAAATGCCTGGCACATAGTAGGTGCTTGATAAATGTTTGCTGAAGGAACTGATATTTTCTCTGTTAAAACTTCAAAATTTTTTTTTAACTCAAATTCTATAATTCTGTCAGTTCTATTTACTATAGAGGGTTTTTTTTTTTTTTTTTTTTTGACTATTTGTGTTAACCAAACATAATAAATGATGTCTTTGTTTAGATGTAGTTCTTACAAATTTCATGTTAGGGCCATTGTATAGATCCTTCCACTTGTTTTTTAGTGATGTCATTGCTAAGTTAGAAAGTTGGAAGCGTCCTACTTTTGATAATGTATACTTGAGATATTTGTATGAATGGTTCGGTTTATTGGGCCATGTTGATAAAAAAAGAGCTTTATGGTAATTATCATATCCTTTTAATGGTCCAAGACCATACCGGATTTGGCCTGTGTTCACTTTTCCCTCCTTATCTCTTAATACTTTTCCTTACCTACTGTGTTCCAGACATACCTCATTTGTTCAGTGCTTCATACATGCTAAGCTTGTCTTATTTCTTATGTCCCCAGCTCTTTATTTCGCTGAAGAAGTCTTTGAGGTCTCAGTGATAGAACTTTGGCTAGGCTTTCTATGACTATTCCATTGAAAGTGGTTCCCTTTCTCCTAGTCACTCTTTTTACATCACCTGTTTTATTTTCTTTAGAGCATTTATCACTCTTGGAGAGCATTTATCACTCTTGGAAATTCTTATTCACTCATTTGTTTGTGTTGGTTATCTATCTCCCACCTACTAGAGAACACAACCATGAGAGCAAGGACCTTGCCCAGAGTCTAGAATATTATAGATGTTCAGCAAATACTTGTTAGATGAATAAATAGATATCAATGATGTGTTGTGTTTACAGAATCCTTTTACGTATGTATTCCATTTTGGTTCTTAGAACATTCTGTAAGGTGGATGGGGTAGGTCTGAAGAAAATGACATCCAGAGAGGCCCAACAAGTTTTGCAGTCACATGCAGGACCAGATCCCAAGTACAGACCTCTGTCTTTAGGTCTCTGCTACTCTTTCCTCTTTGTTAAGCTGCCTTCTAAATGTTTCTAAAATAGAATAATAAATTTGGCTTCTAGGTCAGTTTCCTTGAGCCCACCTCGGAGGAGCTCCAAATCCCCAGTATCGCTCTTATTCTACATATATTCAATGACATATGAATTCATGCCTGACGTATTGTAGCTAATGAGTCAATACCAGTTTCTCTTCCTCTCTTGGCTCAGGTGAAAATAAAAGTGTCCTACAGAGCAGGGAGAGCTAGGGAAGAGTGGGTGCTTTTAGGGGCAGATAGAATAGAATTTCACCTTGATTTATTCTACCTCCACCCCCTTTGATAATCAAAACTCTTGTTGGGAATGATTTTACAATGTCCCATTGCTTTTTCTCTGGATTTGTGTCATAATGGACCCTGTGCTAATAGTGCTTCCTTTAGTGTATTGTTCTTCATAATTGGTTTTGTATTTACTTGCTGTCATTTGACTTTCAAGTTCTTATTTCTAAACATCATCTCTTTGAATGTAAACTCTTTGCCTCTTTTTGGCTCCTAGCTTCCATTGCTTCTGAATTGCCTGTGAGGCTGTGATATCTTCATCCCTGGTGTACTTAGATTGAATACATGTTTTATAAAAATATTGTAGAATGGATTTCAGACAAGGGAGAGGTTTGGACAAAAGACTTCCAAAGTCCTTTCAGCTTACAGTTTGTACTGCAGTTGTTTCATGGGTATAGCACTTACAGCATTTGCTTACATTGTAATTGTTCATGAACGTTTCATCTCCCAAAGAAGATGAAAGCTTTGGGAGGTGGAGACTGCTTGACTATCTTTATGTCCCTCTAGCTCCCAGTGTACTTCTTGGGAGTTGTTTGATAAATGTTGATTTGTTGATGTTTCCTTTTAAGGATATGCTTTGAGATTATGGTATTTCTGGCAAGGGTTGTTCTTTCTTTAATAGCTTAATATAGGTTTGATAAACTGCAATTCATTTCTTTTTTTTTTTGGAAAGGACTCTTCCTTCTTTGCTTTTTGCTAAATCATTGTGACTAGTTCAGATTAATGGGCATTGGGTACTATAGGAATCAACAACTCTCAGAGAATATGCTGGAAATGGCACATTGTCACTTCTCTCCTTGCGTTTCTGAAGAACCACAGATAAGCAGAATTTGTTGTTTTTTTCCCTGCGTAGGAGTTTGTGATTTAAAAAAATTTTTTTTTAACATTTTACTTGTTTTTTGAAAGACAGAGACAGAGTGTGAGCGGGGGCAGGGTAGAGAGAGAGAGGGAGACACAGAATCCAAAGCAGGCTCCAGGCTCTGAGCTGTAAGCACAGAACCTGATGCGGGGCTTGAACTCATGAACTGCGAGATCACGACCTGAGCCGAAGTCAGACACTTAACCAACTGAACCACCCAGGGGCCCCAGGAGTTTGTGATTCTTAAGCTACTGTACTATTTGCTGAATAGAGTTAGTGACTTAATGCTCTTATTCCTTCTGGTTACCGGTTATGTGTGGCACATAGAAGGTGCTCAGCAAATGTTTCTTAATGAATAGACTCCTCTAGTAGTACGTTTATTGACTGACTTCGAAGTTATATCCTGCACCCCCAGTCTTCAATTAGCTATTAAAGATTAGGCAAGGTAATGCTTCATTTATTTCTAGCTGAAGCTTTGGGTAAATTTTCACTCTGGTGAACTAAGTTGAATTCTGGTGAGCTTGTGAATATTCGTTTTTACTCCTGTAACTTTAAGGCTTCAGCTCTTTTCCCTAGGTTTATAGTTTTAGTTTGGTCCCCAGACCAGAGTGGCCGGTTTTGCCATTGTGATGTCAAAGGAAATATGGAAAAATGGCTACAGGGTTGAAAAGTATTTTTGCCCAAATATTAGATTAAGCTGTCCTTAGGTACCTATCTGTGCATCTTTCTGACTCTGGAATACAGTGTTCTGTGCAATGCCCAGTACATGTGTCACTGGCCACATGTGGCTGCTGAGCACTTGAAATGTGGTTAAGTAATACTGGGGAACTAAATTTTAAATTTTATTTAATTTTAATTTAAATAGCCACAAGTGGCCAATGGATAGTGTATTGGACAGCACAGTCTGGATGCTTTGAAAAGCTTTCTTATAATTTGTAACATTAGCAGGAAGAGATTTCCCTTTTTGTGTGCTCTGAGAAAACAAAACTTTATACTTCTACTACTAGTACCATTCTTAAAAAAAACTTTTTTTTAATGTTTATTTATTTTTGAAAGAAAATTGGCCCGGCCAATGGGTGAGACAAGGCAGAGAGGAAGGAGATCAAAACGGCTCCCAGGCTCTGAGCTGTCAGCACATGGAGCCCAAGGCAGGGCTCAAACTCATGAACCGTGAGATCATGACCTGAGCTGAAGTCGGATGCTTAACTGACTGAACCACTCAGATCCCCCCTCCCCAGTATCATTCATGTGCGAGCTGTTCATTGTTTAGCTTTTTTAATATATGATAAATACTTAAAAGCAGGGGACATTTTTATAACCTCTGTAGTCATTGTATTGTGTTTAGTTTGTATTTGGCAAACAAGTAAGAAAAGAGAAAATAGCCTAATCTAAGTTGTTAGTTGTAAGATTTACCATTTTTTCATGTTCACCAAGAAAAATAAGCACTTCTAATTAAACTGAAACACAGGGCTTTTGTAATAGTCCTGGATGAGTTTTGATTCAATCTTCCTAGCTTCTTGTTATTTTGAAATTTCTTTTACCTTTCCAAGATATTTATTTAGCAGTCTTTCCTTCCTTTAGGTGTTTGACCTGTGATGGAATCTTTTGTAGGTATCTCGGTAATAAAATATAAATATGCTTCCTTAATCTGTGGGAATTTCATTACATCTTATAGAAAAGGATGGATGAGGGTTTTTTCTTCATCGACAAATACTTGCTTCTCTAATACCAAATTCATGATTTGTTGCTCTTTGTCTATGCCTTCTTGTCTACATAAAAACAATCCTTTTTATTGAAACTTAACATACATAAAGAAGAGTTTACATATCTTAAGTATACAACTGGATGAATTTTCTGAAATTCATGTAACCAGCACGCAGGTCAAGAAATAGGATATTTTTAGTGCCCCAGAAGCCCTCTCATGCCTTCTTCAGTTACTGCTGCTGTCCTGACTTAACATCATAAATTAATTTTACCTACTTTTTAAGCATTATAGAAATGAAATCATACAGTATGCACTCTTTTGTGTCTGACTTCCACTTTATAAGAGTCTCAACTGTATATTGTAAGTCATTCATATTGTAGGTATATTTGTAGTTTGTTTATAATATTGCATTTTGTGAATGTACCAGAATTTATCCATTTTTCTGTTGATAAGCATTTGGTTAGTTTCTAGTTTTGAGCTAATATGAATAGTGCTGGTGTGAATATTCTCCTGTGTATCTGTTGGTTGAACATGTGTGGACGTTTCTGTTGAGATACATATCTGGGAGTGGGCCTGCAGGGAGTATGCATGTGACCCCCTTGAGTATATAATGCCAGACAGCTTTCCCAGATTATTGTTTCATTTGCAGTCTGGCCAACAGTCTATGAGAGTTCTGGGTTATTGCACATTGTTGCAATCACTTGCTGCTCTTTCAATCTTTTGAATTTAAAATTTTGATAGATATTATGTACAGGGTTTTTTGTTTGTTTCAGTTTACACCAGGAGAGAGATTTTAAATGCCAGTCAAACTCAGCATGGGTAGTGCCAACAGTGTGCCTAACTTAAAAGAGCTGATATTAACAACTATTTTTGAGGTTGTGCTTGTAGAGACAGTGACTCTTGATGACTG